GAATATGGGCAGCCTCTACGTCTCATCAGAAGAACCCAAGGAAATAATAAGGAATGATCAACACTTTCTAAGGGCTTGCTATGTGCTGGCTCTGTGCCAAGCACTTTATATACATTATCTCACTTAATACCAAGTGACATAAAATAAAGCTCACATGAGAAAAAGGCCATGCCACTCATTCATGCTAATCCAGTCCCTCAGCCTCTGTGAGTGACTCGCTCTTGGACGGAAGCTGTGTTCTGGGCCTGCTGCACTCCCAGAATCCCTAGGTGTCTCAGCGGCTCAGAGTGCGCAGCTGGGGCCCACGTGGGGAGGATTTATCGCTCACAGGCCTTCTGTCATTAACAGAGATAAATCCAGGTATTGTCATTACGGTAATGGCCTCTGTGACTAAGAGGAGTTAAATAGAAAGTCAGCGAATGTCAGATATCTTGAAAAATCTATTCACCATGAAGTCACCTTCTAATGTGTTTGGTGGAAACAATAACATCCATTTTCACTCCAGACACTGCTCTCTGTGGTAAATAATATCACGAGGTGCCTCTATCCTGTAAGTCCCCAGAAACTGTTTCTAATTATTGTCAGAGGCATGTCAATTACCAACAGAGCCTCCAGGCAGCCCTCGATGTGGCTCTGATTAGAAACATGTTTTACTTCCATTTCTTCAGTCAAGCCCCTCAGCCCCTACATATTAATTGCTCTCTCTTGGCTATGGGCCTGTTTCCCTCACCCTCCTCTCTGAACCGCACCTCTCATGGCTAAGTCCGTATCTTTGTCTGGTCTCGGCCCTGCACCTCACCCTCTTTAACAAGCAACTCAGGACCTGCCAATGGGCTCAATCTGTTTCTTCAAAAATACTGGGGCTCTGGTAATCCAGAGAGCTGATAAACCTGCTTCAATTAAAAAAAAAAAAGCTGGGCCAGGTACTATAATAAGCATAGGACACCACTGTATCTCATTGAGTCTTCCAGAAAGACCCTGAGAGGGAGGTACAATTATTGTCTCCATTTTACATTTAGGAAAACTGAGGCATAGGGAGGTTAAATAATTCTCCCAGCGTCACATAACTAACAAACAGAGAACCTACAACTGCCCAAATGGAGCCTGTCTTCACTTCCAATTCTTCTTGAACCCCTGACCCAGGGATAAGTTAGTTGGGCTTTCTCTTCACTGTCTGTCCTCTTTCTTATCATGACCTCTGTGTTCCTCCCACTCATTCCTTGAAGATTTGAGGTTAGTTGGACTCTTTCCAAACCTCACACGGGCCCTCTACTTACATTACAACTATTGATTCTTTCAACATCCAACTAGACTTCATGGAGTGGGGCTCTAGGAGCACCAACCTTGTCAACTACAACAGGAAGTGTGGTCCTGGAACTTCATGCTGGCCCCCCATTATTTCACCTCCTCTCTTCTGTTCTACCCTACCTCAGCGCACCCTCCCCATGACGGTGTCCCTGCCTAAACATCACCAACAACTACAACAGCAGCTGTGCCATAAAAAAAAATTCTCCACCAGTTTCCCATTGCACTTAGACTAAAATCCATTCCTTCCATTTTTGCAGCTCAAAATTCTCCCTCCTGGGGACAAGGGCCCTCTTTCTCTAGCTCCCACCAGCAAACCCCTTTCCTGCCCCAGAGCCTTTGCACTTGCTGGGTTTCTTTTCTTTTCTTTTTCTTTTTCTGCTGTTGTTGTTTGTTTGTTTGTTTTTTTGTGTGTGTGTTTTTGTGTGTTTTTTTGCCTGGTCTCATGGTTGGCTAAGCTGGGCTCAAATGTCACCTCCTGATAGAGGCTGCCTCTGAACACCCAGACTGAAAGTAGCACTTCCCTCACTCTCAAGCCATTGCCATATCCGGTGTTCCTCGCCCGCCCCAGCCTCATGGCATCTGAATTTATATTATTTTCTGCTTTCTTAGTTATTTTCTGTCTCCCCTGCCCACTATAAGTTTCAGGGGAGACCAGATCCAATGTTCCCTCAAAGTCTAACCATAGCACCACAGGAGGCACTCCGTAAATACCGGCTGCGTGCGTAAAACAGCGGCTGTGCGCGCAGACACACAGATGCTCAGATGTTGTACAATTTCCTTCTGGGGGCCACTGTCCCCCCTTAGAATCGAGAAGAGAGCGTTGCCATTCACTGACACAATCCAGAGACGAGAAAGACCCAGACCGGCCCGGCTGAAACAGACAACTGAGAGGGACAGGAGACAGAAACCAGCGGCAGGGACCCGGGCCCAGGCCGAGCTCCAGAGAGAGTGACAGAGGCAGACAAGGCCGAGACGCAGCCTCAGCACAGCCTAGGCAGCTGCCGGAGACAGATCCAGCAGGAGGGGCGCGGAGGGGGGCCAACCCGCCGGAAGACCTGAAACCCGCGCGGCCAGTGTGGGAACCCAGCCGCCCCGCCCCCGCTTAAGAGTGGCCGCGGCAGCTGGCGGGGCGCTGGGCCTCCCGCTGGCGCGACGCGTGCGGGATCAAAGCCCCCAGGAAGGGGCGGGCGGGGAGGTGGCAGGATCCCGGAGGTGTGAGCGAGCTTCCCAGGGGATGTCAGGAGCGTGGGAGCGCAGAGTGCGGGCAGGGGACAGAGACCCCGAGGGAGGCCGAGAGATCGCAGAGACACCCTGCCACCGAGATGCAGACGCAGAGAGAGACGGAGAAGCTGGAGAGACCCCGAGTCAAAAACGCAGAGACAACTGAAGACCCAGAGAGGTGAGCGCAAAAGTTGCTAAGAGACCTGGAAAGAACGTGAAATAGACAGAGACAGAGACGCCAAGAGGCACGCAGCACAGAAAGACTGCAAGACACCAAAGGCCGAGACCCTTGGACTTGGAAAAAGAAAGGGCGCTTCAGAGAGAACAGGAGGTAGGACAGAGAGAGCGAGCGAGGCGGAGAGATGGAAAGAAGAGCAAGGGAATTAGATAGAGCGCACGGGGCAGGAAGACCTCGCCCCTCCCCCGCGGAGGGCCCAGAGGACCCCCGGGGCAGGGATCCGAGCGCGGGGCCCTTTCTCAGGGTCACGCCTGCGGAGGTGCGGGGGCTGGGGGCGAAGGGAGTGGTGGGCAAGGCAGCAGGACCCCCTGGTTGGGAAGGATGGACGTGTGAGGAGGTATGGAATCAAGATCTCCACCAGAGCCTCAAACCCTTCAGTAGAGTAAAAAGTAATATATTAATATGTGGTGAAAATATTAATGAAAGGTGCTTCTCAGAGAAATATCAAACTTCTTTCAGTTTTTGTTGTGAAAAAGAAAGCAAATATCAAACTTCTTTCAGTTTTTGTTGTGAAAAAGAAAAAGGAAGTATCGTTGCATTGGCCGGGAATCGAACCCGGGCCTCCCGCGTGGCAGGCGAGAATTCTACCACTGAACCACCAATGCGCGCTCTAGCTGGGCTTCACCAGAGCTTATAAGAGGTCAACCTAGCGGTGATCAGGCGGTTGTGTCAGCGAGGGACCTAGGGAAAGAGTGGGTCTGAATAGTTCAGGTGGGTGGAGCAACCCAGCCATCCTTCCTCTCTCCCGGATACGGCCACTGGGCCATAAAGTCGCCCCATATGGCCAGGGGCGGCCCCACACCCGGGTGCGAACAGCCCGGGGCCCCCAAACCTCGCGTGCAGGTGAGAAAAACTCAGCCTGAGCCCAGGTTCCCAAGGAGGGGGGCGGCGGGGGCTACTGGGGCCACACATCTGCGTTCCCATTTGGCCCAGGTACGGGGAGGTGGGATTGCTGGGGGCCCTGAACCCAAATGGGAGCGCCCTCCCCAAGGTCTGCGTCCATTCGGGCTCGGGCTTTGGCAGGGTAGGCTCCGTGAAGAATATCAAGTTGTGGAGGGGCACGGGGAGGGCCAGGCGGAGTCCCATCCGCTCCCTACTCCGCGTCTATCTTCCGACTTGGTCTCCAACCTTGTCTTGACGTCTCCTTGTCGCTAGCACTCTCGCTGTCCTGTTAAATCTCTGATTTTACCTCATCGATCGTTTCCCCCTGAAGTCGCATCATTCTGCAGAGGGTCATGGTCTTGGTTTGGGGTGGGTGTAGGTCCCTTTTTTGTATCCCTTTCTTGTCCCTTTAAGAAAACTGCCTGCTCCCTGCTCCCCTATAGTTACCAGGAGGTTCCTGGGAGCGGGCGCACTCGTGTCAGGTGTCCTGGCAGCCACACGCCCGAATCTCCCACCTTTTTGAATCAAATACTTGTAAATGGAAAGATCTCTCCATCTCCTGCCCGTGCTTCGCTTCCTCTTCTTTGAGGTTCCCCTCGCCCCAGTCCAGACGCCCCTCAGGATGGTCTTCTTCCCGGTTACCTACTTTGATTCTGTAATAGCTACTTGATAACACGCCGTGGTCCCCCCCCCCCCCACTAGAACCTGCAGGGATGAGCTGGACCTCGAGTGCATACCTCAGCGCAAACGGTCCAGGCCTAGACCAGTGCGCCGAGCGCAGGCCACCGGCCCCAGTCCCTCCCCTGTTGGGGAATTAAATAGGACCGCCTTCGATCTCACAGCGCGTCTCTTCCCCCTCCAGGCAGAACCCCAGCTGAATTAGATAGATCCACCTCCCACACGCTAGGTCTCTTATTATTTTAAGCAGGATAATTTGGGGTGAAGATGTATAAGATCCAGCCTAGGGGCCGAGGGGTGCTCCCATCTTTTTTACTGTCAGCGGGGGTACGGTGACCGCCCAAACAAGCTGCGATTCTGGTGGCAAATTCTGACCCCAAATCACCTGAACACTCTCCCCCCTAATAACCTCCTCCCTTCAGCTGGGCCCGCCTCATTATACAGCCTTATGGTCCTTAAAACAGCTGGTGCTCCGCTGACCCCTCATTTCCCACACTCCCAGGCCCGTTGCACGCCTCCCCTCCCCCTAGCGCTCCTCCCCTTTCCGGGAGCCTCGTGCCGGGGGCCCAGCCGGAGGGATCTGGGTGCCTAAGAGGGCGGGTCCTGGTCCTCCTCCCCCACCCCCCGGCTCCCGGGAGCCTGAGGCATATAAGGCGCAACGGGAGCAGGGGCTCGTCCACACCAGGGTCCGGAGGAGCGATGGTCACCCGGGATCGAGCCGAGAATAGGGACGGCCCCAAGGTGAGCGGCGGGAGAAGAGGGAGCCGAGATCCCTGGTCCGGGCAGGGGACCGTGTCTCTGAGAGCTGGGCTGCAGGGGGGCGATGTGCACGGGAGACCCGCGGAGCCAGGAGCTGGGAAGGAAGCTGCAAAGCCTGAGGGAGGGGGACAGGGTCAGGCAGGACCTGCGTGGGCGGCAGAAGCACAAGTCCGGGGTTTGGGTCACGGGAGTTGGCAGCTTGCGGTCGCGGGGACGCGGGCGGGGGCTGGTGTTGGCGTGAAACCACCGAGAGGAGCACAGAGCTCGGGGAGGAGGGAGGAGGGAGGAGGGCGGGAATGAAAGGCGAGACGCGCACTTGCTCCGCGCGGGCTGGCTCGGTGGGCACGGGCTCCAGAGGCCCGAGGCGGGGTGGAGGATTTTATCTTATTTTATTTTTTTATTTTTTTGGGGGTGGAGGATTTTAGAACCAGTTACGAAGGGTGACCGCTCAGACGGGTTAGAGGGAGAAGAGGAGGTGCGGTCGCGCTGGGTATCTCCCTTTCTACACTCAGGGCCGCCAACTCTGAGTCCGGCACCTTGTGGCCCACGTGTCTGGGCGCAAAGAGGGCCCTCAAAGTTCTCCACTGAGACAGAGAGACACTGCACGATGCGGAGAAGTAGAGAGAAAAGAGGAGGAGAGACACAGAGAGGGGAGGAGGGAGGACAAGACTGAGAGAGGAGAATGCAGAAGACCCGGGAGAGAGAGGAGGCGAGCTTCAGAAACTGGCCCTAGGGGCGCTGGGAGGGGGAGCGGAGAGGGGTCGAGTGGGTCGGGCCCTAGGCTCTCAGGAGTCTTGGGGAAGGGGTGGAGGCCGGACTATCCCAGCGGCGGGGTCCCCACGCCCGCGCGGCCGCGCTGAGTCTTGGTCCCGTCGGCCCGCTCTCCCTTTCCTGCTGGTCCCAGATGCTGAAGCCGCTAGTGGAGAAGCGGCGCCGAGATCGCATCAACCGCAGCCTTGAAGAGCTGAGGCTGCTGCTGCTGGAGCGGACCCGGGACCAGGTCAGTCCTTCCGGACCCCCAAGCACCCCGTCCTCGCGTCCCAGGGCTTCCCACTTGGGTGGGGACGAATGCTGGCTGCACTGGCGACCCTGGCCCCGAGGCACCCTCACCTGAGTCCCGCCCTTGGAATCCCATCCCAGACCCCTTCTTGCTCTCAGAACGCGATCTTCGTGGCCGCCTCTCGGGTCTGTAAGTTTCACACCTTGCTCTGTACATTTCCCTCCAGGGTGGGTCTGTTTCAACCTCCGGGTCTGCAGATTCTTCCTCTGCCTTCCCTCTCCGCCCCCAGCAGCCAGCAGGGTGGTTCATTTCACTCACTGGGTTTGCTACTTTAAATGCCCTTCTCCCAGCGCGGGGTTGGTTTCCTCCCCTCGGGTCGGACCGTTTCCTCGCAGGGTGGGTGAGGACCGTTCTTGGTCATCTCCACGCCGCATTCGGGAGCGCGCTCTGCGGTCAGCGCGCACACGCGATCCGGGGGCACCCCCAGCCCCTGCACCCCTCCCTCCTTCCTTCCCCCTGCCACTTTCCCCCTCTCTCCCCACCCCTCTGTCTTTGCGCCCTCCCCTCCTGTTTGTAGAACCTCCGGAACCCGAAGCTGGAGAAAGCAGAGATACTGGAGTTCGCCGTGGGCTACTTGAGGGAGCGAAGCCGGGTGGAGCCCCCGGGTACAGCGCGGGGGTGGGCAGCGGAGGGGAGGGGGGATCACCGAGGCCCGGGCCGGGGTAGATGGGCGGACTCTGCCGTGGACGGTGGGCTTGGGGAGTGGCAGGCTCCGCTCTGAGGCGAGGTTAATAACACCCGCGCGTGTCTGTCTCTGTGTCTCCCTCATTTTCTCTCTGTCCGTCCATTTGGTTTCCTGTCTCTGTGCGCCTGTCCGGCCTTGTTCCTTCTGCGCCCCGCCCCTTCCTTTACCCCTGCCCTGCCCCTGCCCTGACCGCCCG